GATCCAATATTCTTGAGAATATTCTCATTGATTAGGGTTTGTGCCTGCAATCTGCTCACCATCACCAGTGCATACAGCTGAACTCGACGTTGAAGTCTTATAACGACTTAGGGTCCACGCCCTATGCCTTCGAGGCAGTATTGGGTGGGAACCGCCCCCTTCGTGGAAGGTACGAATAGTGGGAATGATACCTCCGTGGCAAGCGCCGGGCGTGAACCCTATTGCTGACAAATTTTATCCTCAACGTCAAGTTCAAGCAGTGGGCTTGCACTGTCCACTGATGGCTGCTAGCGCTCCGCAACGACGCTTTCGTCAAATCGACGCATTAGTGTAAGGGTAAGCGATGCTACGTTTCAACAAGATAGTCTTCACTCAAATGCTACATATTAAATGCTTCCAAATTACTTTCACTTTTTATCTGAAAGCAACGGCACCTAGACCCAAGGAGTAGTTTTGGCATCATCGACAACTCGTCTCTGCAGTTCGATAAAAAAGTCAGGTCAGATGTCTTTACACACCGGTCAACACATCTTTGAAAGATGCTGTCTCACGATTTGTCGAGCCAATTACTCCTCCGGCTGTGCCAGATTCGAGGGACTATTTGATGGTAGATAAAGCCTCATCGAGAATGTTAGCCTACTTCACTTCGTCCTTCTAAGCTGGCTTTATGGCGGGGGGAAAGTTGAAGGTGCACTATAATTTACGTAATGTTGCAGAGTCGAAATGAGTTTGACCAAAGACCACGTTTGCAGAGGCAGCGGATGACGGCATATGTGGTCCAAACCTTGTTTTGCCCGAAGCTGGATAGGGGATGACCCCCATCTTGACGCTGGATGGGCTCATCCTGTCGTTTGAATCATCGTCTTGTCTACCCAGATGACCCCTTTTATTGTACGATTAAACGGTCACGATCTGTTGATGGACACGTCCAATCAGTTGATTAGATGGGCACGTCCAATCAATTGATTAGATGAACGCGTCCAATCAGTTGATTGGATGGACACGTCCTATCAGTTGATTGAATGGACACGTCTTATCAATTGTTTAGATGGACACGTCTTATCAATTGTTTAGATGGACGCGTCCAATCAGTTGATTGGATGGACACGTCCAATCAGTTGATTGGATGGATGGTTTGTCGGGGTACTAAATCTTGTCATATAACTAATTGTATGACATGTAGGCGACCCCCCTCATGTCACATATTCGTGATGGGACGCGTGTCATTCTTGACTTACAACATTGCCTTCGTAGATGGCACTTCCAGTTTTGCCACCGACATCGCAGCAACCCCCACCCGTAACCATTCGTTCGGCCAACTATGAACATCAAGACAGGCGTATTCGTCGTTCTTGCCTTGGCTTCCTCGACGTTCGCGCAAAACGCTCCTTGCAACTGGCCCACAAAGAAGAGAAAGGGACAATCGGAGGAGTACTGCTACGGGAGTTATTATAACACACCAGGATCCATACCCCAATGCCTCAGTGACTGCTGTACCTATCCGGAAAATGAATGCAGATATGGACGAGGATATCCATAGTCGCAATTCGTCATGAAACTCGTTGGAACCTGCGATTTTCATAGGCTATCGTACGTGGTATTCAGCAAGTCCGTTATCTTGTTTTGCTGTAAGAGAAGGGATTTTACAGTACAACATATGCGAATACAAAGAAGTTGGCACCAATTAACACTTTGTCTTACATTAAATGGGTTGTTGTTTTCTATTTTTGCATATATATATTTATTGATTGAGTGTTTATTACCCGCATTTCGTGACGTAATGTGTAAAGGCGTCTATTTTGGGGTGAAATGGTCATACTTTCGTTTTCTTTTATTGCTTGAAGTACACGCCAAATATAATAAAATCAAATATTTGAGTAGTTTATACATTGAAGTTAGATATCTATAATAGATATACCTATATCCTAAACTTCTCAAAACATTTCTATGTTAAAAATAGTTATGTATTTAACAGCGAATGAGCAGCAAACGCTGCCAATGGAAACAGAATCTGTACATTACCACTAACAGATCAGAAATAGGTAAAACAATATTTGACGTCGGACCAAAAATTTAATGGCATTGGTGAGGTCTGTGATGCCTTGAACAGCTTCACTCAAGGGCTGGCAATAAAGAGATAATCTTAATGATAATGGTCATATTTTTATGCTGTATCAACGAAGCATTTGGCCTCCTTAGATTGGCAGAAGATATATTTGATCCCTGCGTAGAATGCCTAAAACCTGTGGCAAACGTATACAGTAGCAGCGCTCCAGCACGGTCATCATTTTTTGACTGCTTAAAAAAGGAGATGTGTAATCTATTATCGATTCCACTCTGCCAACTCGGTGCGTACACAGTAAACCCTTTTTTTTAAAATATGAAAAAGGAAAAAATAAGAAATGCCCCAATTAATCACGAGAATAAAAAAGTGCCCTAGATAATTGGAAAATAAAAAAATGCCCAGAAAATCACAAAATTATATTCCTCTCGTCCTAGAAAACTTAAGTTAATGTGGTACACACAAAAGCACACGTCCTTTTTATTTTGTTTTCCAGTTACAGCCGTGACCAACCATCGCCCTGTTCGGGAAGCCGCGGAGAGGGTTCTACCGCGGGCGTGCTGCGCTTGCAGCCACCAATTGCAGGGGAAGAAGCGAGATATAGGTACGTTAACGTGTCCTCGTATCATCGGTCGCGACCGTAAACACGGTCATTCGGTGCCAAGGGTGTGGTTATTTAAATGTTATTGCTTTTGTTTTTGTTGTTTCAGTTGCTATTGTTGATGTTCCTGCTGATGTTGCTGCTGCTATTGTTATTGTAGGTGCAACAGCTGCTGTTGTTGTTGCTCTGTTATTGCTGCTACTGCTGTTTCTGCTGCTGGCGTTGTTGTAGGTGCTGCGGTTGATGTATTTTTGCAGATACATTTCTCATAAGTGCTTGTACAATCGTGTTACATGTTGGTATGGACCAGCCTGTATGCGTCAACAGCATCATATAAGTTATGTCCTTCATTCTTGATGGCACATTTCCGCCTGCTCTGTTGAAGATTCTACTGCTGTTTCTGCTCAGAGATACAGTCGTTGCATTGCATGGGGTCGCGTGCACGAACGCCCGTAACACGTGCGTGCTAATGCTTATTGACAGATTGTGCACGTGTGCGTGTGTACGTACAGCTAGAAACAGAAGAGTGTGGTGCAGCTCCTACCGAGCCTGCGTTTAAGACCAATGACACAATATAATGATGGGATTTAAGGAACTTGCATTTTGAAGTGCTAACACCTACTGTGAGATGTTCGAGTCGATTGCATCGTGCTAATACAAATTGCGTGGAGAACCATCATATCCAGAATCAGAACTTGTATCGATGTGCGGCGCTTGAGTTGATTGAAGTGTGGCTACATCATTTCATCAACATGAGTATACTAGGACGTGGGGCATTTTTTTCGTGATTATCTGGGGCATTTTTTATTTTTTTAATTATCTAGGATGCTTTTTATTTTCCAATAATCTAGGGCATTTTTATTTTTGTGATTAAATGGGGCATTTTATTATGTTCCCTTTCAATTATGGATAAATATGGAGTACATGGAGTTAGCGGTGGTAGGGCGGGGCATAAAACTAGCGAATCGATCTGTGTAGCGAGTCGCAGGAGTGTTTCTCCGTCTTCTCACGCGCAATTGTCGAGTAGGTGCAAAGATAAATTTGATTATTGTCATGTAACAAGTTAACAAAACTCAAATTGGCCGATGGCTTAGCAGACAATGAATAGACGGGCGGTAAAATTATAATGTGTGGTATCTACATTGCGACATCCATTCGGTTCGCGGACGACATCGAAATTGCGTCAATCAATGACGTCATGCCGATTTGCGTTAAATTTTATGACTCCAAGTGCGATGCCACTGAGACTCCAAGTGCGGTGCCACTGATTGTGCACATGATACGCACAATGCAGAGTTGTAGTAGGCACGGGACTGATGTACCTCACCAGAGTGATATGTCTTGAGTGTCGTGTGACCCCGTTGCATAACTTCCTCCAAAATTATCGATGACGCACTGGAGCATAAGACCATTGAATCAAATTTGTGCGCTTTCGCAAGATATCCTTTCAAGGCTACATTGTCGTGAGAAAGAATAGGAAAACATCATTCACGAGTTCATGTCGATAAAATGCCTTTGCTCTCGAGGATCAGATAGATACGTCTTACGAGACAAGTGGTCTTAGCTGCATTGAAAGAAGAAAGATTTTACTCCATCTGTTTTGTTTTTTCTCCGCCTGAAGAGCCTCAAAGTGTACAGGGACAGTAGTGCACACGACAGCAAACAATCGCCGCGTTGACGTGCCCCACCTCTTCTGTAATAGGTAAGTCAAGCACGTCTTCCACCAGCACTGTGAGCAGCTCTTATGGTGATGCGCTCAAGCGGATTGCTAAACGCGGATGATCACGGGAGCTGCTGGCAGCTACCCTGGCTGAAAGTCTTTTCCACTGGACCATGTCCTTCAGTTCTTCAGCCTATCCTCCAGCTAAAGTGGCGCGGGTCCATTCGTGTCCTTCTCCCCCGACGAGGCAGATCAAGTGGCGCCATCGTGCAAGCGTCCAGCGCCCTATGATCCAGTAGTGCCGTTATGTACAAGGCCTTGACTAATGGCATTACTTCGCCGCCGTTCGGTGAGTGTTGCGCAGCAAGTTTAGCAAACCGACGCTGAACACGTCTAGATTAATACGTCAGCTGTGAGCTTTACTACTGGTCAACGAATGGACCACAAAACTGCTAGAGCAGCCGAACGAGCGCGAGGAGTTGCACATGGAGTGTCAACGTCCTTAGTGCTGTTGCTTACCTCCGTATTGCACTTTCCACTCAGTATGAGTGCGCCCACGTGTGGCAAGAGTTTCCTCAGTCGTTGAAGGGAAAGGAAACTCGTAGGACCATCACTCTGTTTTGTGTACCCCGAGTTGCCCAAATCCGCTTCATTCGTTTTTCGGTAATCAAAGAGCAATGACTGCGCTGCCAAAAGGTAACGACAGCGGACGAACTGAGCGACGCGAACTGAAGAGCGTGTGCGGGTGTGTGCGTGACGTGACGTGACTAGGAGCGATCGAGAAGCTGATGCGGGAGGCCGTGGGAGACGACGACGTGCTGATGTCCAAGACGGCCGTCGATTGGGTCAACGAGTGCGCGAGCGGTACTGTACTTGCCATTAGGGTACCAATGACAACGACGTCGCCCACCACTGACTGAGTAACATGCAATGAGGCTCAGCTTTTCTAAAGCTGATCGGGCAAGAGGCCAACACAGTGGCAGAAGGAGCGGCGACGAAGGAGAACTACCGGATCAGCCACGACCACGTCATGACGGCGCTCGAAGTGAGTGGCGTCGGTACTCTCCTTTGCCGTGTCTATGACTGACGCGCTCGTGTGCGGACGCAGCATCTTGGGATGCGGCGCTATGCAGATACGATCAGAGAGCGCCAGGCGGTGATAGAGCTCGAGGCACAGGTAGACACGGACAGTGTCGATGTGGTTGTTCCCGCCCCATATCCTGTGCGACTGTACTTCTGACGCTATCATGTCGCTGCAGAAAACGCACACGGGATTGGCGTCGCGCAAAGCGGCAACTCCAGCGGTTTCGCGAGATGAGCTATTGGCCGAACAGACGGCACTGTTCAAGCAAGCGTCTCTGGATGCGGCAAAGGAGGGGTGGTGAGCTATGCTGTGGATCACAATGCTGGGAGCGCAGGGAGGGCAGTGGGGTGTTGATACTGCTAACTGTCCCGAGAAGTGCGGAACAAACAGTCATTGGCCAGCAAGGCAGGGAATCCTTGTCGTTATCACTGTTGGACGAGACGGGGCGTCAGGATGCACGCTACTGTTGGCAAATGGCTCTACTAGCACGTGGTCAGCTGAACTCAACAACGACGCCGCGGTGATCAGATGCATACACTGGACTGGCTGCGTGCAACATCCCGACATCTTGTGGAAAGTCCTTGGTGTCTTCAGTAGGTGCCTGACCGACGATCTCGCACTCTTTTACCTGACCGTCACCTCGATACAAAACAAAGTCAATCCGCTTGGACGGGTTGTCACTGGGGAAAGTGAACTTGTGCTGGCGGTCGCCCACGTCCGTCGACCGAGGCTCGGCTTCTTCATGCACCTCCAGCCACGCGTCCTTCATGTCCGTCGTTTCGCCAAGCAGCTCACTGATACCACTGAGGAAACGGATTCCTAACGACTGCGGCTCTGAGTTCAGATCACCAAGCAACACTTGGGTTTTGCCCTGACCTTGACGCATGTACTTCCAGATCTCGACTTTCGTCTGCTCTCTCAATCGCTCGCTCAGCGACAAGTGGGTCACGTAGACGTCAATGATGCCCCAACGCGGATAATCAATTACCGCGTGAAGGCACAACCGCTGGTGCGAGTCATTTGGGTCGTTCGGGTCGCGACTGAGCAATAAGTAGTCAGTCGCAACGATTGGGTACTTCGACAGTATGGCCGGCCCCTCTTCAATGCGTTCGTGAGGCATCCTCGAGTTCAAATAGCTCATCGCTGCCTGGTAGACGTACTGATACCCTGGCAACCGGTCGGCGAGATGCTTCACCTGAGCGTGATTTCCAGGGCCCCCGAAGACGCCGTCGTAGCGCACTTCCTGGAGCCCAATGATGCCAGCCTTTGCCTCCTTGATGAAGCCGACGAGATGGTCCAGCCGCTTCGTATACTGATCCCATCGGCGTCCGAAACCGTACACGTCCGAAGACGGATTTGTGTTCCACACGTTGTACGACAGGATTCGCGGTCCTGGCGCTACACGTGAGCACTCGTCTCCGCGATGGACGTCGCACTTTGCATCGCCAGCTGTTTCAACATCGGGCAATTGCTTCAGCGGTGCATATGTGTGCATGAACACATTGTGCTCTGCTTCGCGATCTAGTGCCACTACGACGCGGTGCTTTAGATTAAACTTGGCGTCTTCTAGCGTGAGGTGGAAGTTGAACCCGAATGTCACTTGGCTCGAAAAGCGGTACCTTTGGCCCCTGGCATCCACTGTGTCTTGCAAAATCAGCATCTCGGAATAGCCGTTATCTCCTGTGACCTTGAGTGGGAACACAGTGGCCTGTGCAACGTTGATCTCCGGCGAGACGTGGACGTTTGCGTGGGTCTTGATTGACGTCACAGCCGCTTCGAAAGCCGCCAGAACTGCCTTGTTCGTCCTCGGATCCGGTATGAAAATCGGATCCAGCAGCACGCTGCCATACAGCAGTTTATTAGTCGACGACTCGCCATCCCGCAGCTCGAAGAGGTCGACCGGCTCAAAACTCTGACGTTTCTGACGGAGGCCACCTGGCTGCGAGGAGAGGTATTGGCCAGTGAAGTGGACACGGTCGACAAATGGAGTCCAGAAGTCCCATCGCGGGATGTGGTCAAACGACTGGTGGTCGGATGAGGCGACCAGGGCGAGGACCGACGTGCAGTCAAGCAGCACTGTGGCTGCTATGAGAAGGTGGGCGCAGATCGCCATCGTATCTGAGCTCTCGGTCGATCACGTGGAGTTACATCAACGGCACACCAAATTCAATCGTTTACACAAAAGTATGTATGTGTGTGGTCGTGGTGAGTAATCGTTACAGCATCGAGAGAGAGAGAGAGAGGGAGAGAGAGAGCGCGAGCGAGCAATTGGCCCGAAAGCTCGATGAAGCGACGGACGGACCCCTTCCTCTGGCTGTGGCAAAAGGAGCTCACCACACAGCGAGTCGTTGACATTACGCACGTCGTCCTTTCACGGTCGACTAAAACTGCAGTTTAAAACGGCCGTGACGAGACGTTACGAGTGGACGGGCTAGAGAGACGAGGAGGTCAAGCAGCGAAACGACGTGCGCGGCGTCTACCAATTGAGCCGATGCTGCTGCTGCTGTTGCTGCTGCTGCTGTAACTGTGAGCAGACGCAGCTGGTATCATATAAACGTGCTGTCTCGCGCAATAGAGCCTTCGTCCACATCAATAACGACAACGGTCCAGCGAGCTCAGCTACTGCAGCGGAAAGACGACGGCAGCAAGGAACCGATGGACGACCACGCAAGACACATACCTGTCGGTTGCAATGAACGCCTGAACTCGCGCGCGCCGTTGCTGAAACTACCACGCGAGATGAACCGGCAACGACAAAACGTCCGAGAAGCGAGTGGTTGTCTGTGTGCGTGAGGCAGACTGCTGTGCTTGGCACGAAACTGCAGCATGCGATGCAGCGCGCGCTGACAGGCGCAACGCGCGGCGTCGGTCGTTTGTTCGTCTGGACGCCTCTTTTCCGCTGCGACCGAAAAGCCGAGTATCACCAGTCAGTCAATTGGTCGATTGGTCGATTGGTCGATTGGTCGATTGGTCAATTGGTCGATTGGTCGGTTGGTCGATTGGTTGATTGGTTGATTCGTCGATCATTCGGTCGTGTTTACGGCCCAATCTCGCTCGCTGTCTTCCTCCACCTCTTTCTGTGATTCATTCCCCACGCCAATCTAATCCATTGCAGCTGCAGATATGAATTTTTCCATCGTGCAGTCGTGTCTATGCACCGTAACGCCCTCGACAGAATATAGAGCCGGCATCGGCGACGGCGTCCATGGAGTCAGTCAATCAGTGCTCGAGTAGTCGACACCGATTGTTCGGCGGGCCAACACTCCCGCACCCAGTCACGCACTCACCCACTCACTCTGTCAGTCAGTCAGTCAGTCAGTCAGTCCGCGCTCTGTCACCTAATTACTCACTCACTCCCGAACTCACTCTCCCAATCGAAAGCCGAGCCACAAGCAAACGCGCGACGGCCCAATCGGTCTCTCTCTCTCTCTCCACTGTCGTCGACCCATTTGCCGTCCGTCCGTCCGTCTGTCCGTCTGGCTGTCTGTCTGTCCATCGCACTTGCCCTCCTACGAACACCCGCCCCATCCCATTGCGGAGCCAGTCGACCCATCGACCACCGACCAGTTCGACGCCACTCTTCCACTCAGACACTCAGTCAGTCAGACACTCAGACACTTAGACACTCTGTCAGACACTCAGACACCTTCGCACGCCGTCTCCTCGTCCGTCGCACGAGAGAATGTTGCGCTGGACTGCCCGTCTCGCGTCCGCCGCAGCGCTGGCCGACCTCATCGCCGCGTCCGGCGGCGCCGTGTCGTCCTACGACATCAGCGACCCCATGTTCGGCTCGTGCCGCCTCAAGGGCATTGCCCCCGCGAGCGCCAACTTTAAGCTCTACGCGTCGCTCTCGAACAAAGACGTGGAGCTCAACGAGGCCTGTGGCCGCTGCGTGACCGTCACGCGCGACGACGACCCGAGGCTCTCCACGTCGGCCTACGTGCTCAACGTGTGCGACGGCTGCGCGTCGCGGTCGATTCAGCTCTCGCGCGACGCGCTGGCGGCGCTCGACATCCGCCCCAACGACCGGCAGCCGCGCGTCTCGTACGCCTTTGACACGTGCCCGCCGGCGCTCATGGCGGGCGACATCAAGGCCTGTATCATGGAAGGCGCCTCGGAGACGTACGTGCCGCTGCAGTTTTTCAACTCGCAGAAGGTCATTACGGCCGCGACGATCAACGGCGTACCCGCGACGAGCAACGCCGCCAACTTTCTCTTCTCGGCCAACCCGAGTTTCCCCTCGAGCACGTGGTTCGAGAACGTCGACTTCTCGGTCACGTCGGACTCGGGCGAGACGCTCAATAGTACGTTGGCGTTCGACAGCGCCTCGGGCTGTGCCACGTCGACGGTGCAGTTCTTCTCGGCGTCGACGGCCGACGGCGTCCGTGGCGGCGCCAGCAGTGCATCGGACTCGTCGTCGAGTGGCGCGATCATTGGCGGCGTCTGTGGCGGCGTTGGCGCGCTGCTGCTCGTGGTGGGTTCGGTGCTCTTCCTCCGGCGTCGCAAACGCGCGGCGAGGGACACGGACGACCCCGAGAACGAGCTGGAGAACCAGTTCCTGTCGCCGGCCGTGAAGCCGTCGAAAGCTGCGCCGTCGACGTCGCTGCAGGACGACCGGCAGCCACTCGCGTCCCCGACGGTCGACTACGCCGAGTCGTTCTCACCGGCTGCGAGCAATAAGACGGCCCACTCGAAAGTGGGCACCATGAGCTCGCCCATGTTGATGTCGAAAGCTCCTGCAGCGGCTCCAGTCGTCGCTGCGTCAGCTCCTGCGAAGGTACTGGCGCCGGCTCGTCGAGCGTCAGCTGCACCCCCCGCGTCCAGCCCGCCTGTGATGGCGGGTGCAAGGCCGACGTCGCCCAAACCTGCCCACGCTCCTACCACGTATGCGTTCAGCAGCAAGTTGGACACGAGCCCCTCGAAACCGTCGGTGAAATCGGCGCCTACGCTATCGGCTCCTGTGGTGCACCACCCGCCGTCGCGCACGGGGTTCTTTGACGACGATGATGATGAAGAGAATCGCTCGAGCTTTGACATTGACGACATGCGCGAAACCGAAGCTCGTGCGGCTTCGATCGACCCCTTAAACCAACTGGACCCGGTGCCGTCATTCGCACCGTACAGTGCAGCGGACCCGTATGCTAACACCGTGACGTCTCCTCAGAGCAACGTCCGTGCCACGAGCTTGCGCCGCCCAGGTTCGAAGGTAAACGCGGCAAAAGTGTCGGGCCGTGGCGACTCGGATCGCTTTGCCAATGACTCGGTGGTTTCTGACCCGGACAGCTACACGTCAGAAGCCCCCCGCCAGAGGAACGGGTCTTTTTCATCAAACGGAACGCTGGCGTCTGGCAGGGCGTTCCCCTCACCTGCAACGGATGCCAGTTTGTTGAGTGGACGTCCCAGCTTCTCGACGGACAGTAACCGGATGACGAACTCGCCAGTGCGAGACAATGGTGCGTCTCCCGCTGCTCAGCCAAGCGCAGATTCGGCTACTTCACAGCGCAGCATGGGCTCGATGCGTGAGAGCGGCGGCTACAGCGTGGACTCGCTGAACATCCTGGGCTACCCGTACTCGAAGAAGAGCGGACGACAGCACAACTCTACAGGTTAGCCATCTAACGCGTCGTTTACAGCTACGTGTACACTCGACTGGGCAGCAGCTTCCTGTGCACGGACGATGATAGTCGCGATGCGCAGCTGACTGTGTACCAGCAGAAGCAACAGCAGTTCACAGGGAGTTGCTCGCCTCGAGGCTACTGCTGTATTGTACAATACTCGTGCTGCTGCAGAGTACATATCTAAATCATTTTCTCATGTTTGTTTGCTCGTGTGGTTTTTGTGTTGCGGTGTGACAGAGATGCAGTTCTAAGGAGAGGGGGCGTCGATGCGTTGTTATATTATCGTTTTGGGACAGCTTTGCAAGGGACCCTACGAGTCAGTAGGCCACATTTGACACGTCTAGCATAAGCTGCTACCTGAAATATCGAGAGCTGCTGGGTCAAGAGTTGGCGTGATTGGTGCGTGTTCGTTTGCTCTGTTGAACCCGTTTGCGCGCTTGTGTGTGTGTCTGTGTGACTACTATCTAGGAACGTGTGGCAAAAGATCGGCGCAAGTCGACTACGAGGTGTGAAACTACTGTCCACTTGTTATTGTCCATCGATCTGAGCCCGCAGAATGTACATGAAGCGGCCAGTGAGGTGGCGACCAGGCCGTGTGCACATATGTTGGAGCGCTCAAAACAGCTCGAGCAGCCGTTACGTTTTTTGCAGAGAGGTGCCACGGGATCGGCTGTAAGCACAGTCGAGTTAACGAGCTGACGACGGATCGAACGAAAGCGCGAGACTCTCGTATGTGCTGAATGGGTGCTGAACTGCCTTTGGCGACAGATGCCACCCATGTGACAGGTGGGACAACGTTTGAGGTGTTTGGTTTTGCCCCAGCGCTACTTTGACCGCAACTGTCGTGGCGTCTTCGGGATCGCTGGATCGTGAAGTGGAGCGAACTTGACGTCCTCGTCATATCGCGATCAGCTCGTGGGTCCCGCAGCGAAAGACGCGTTTGACACACAGCTGCAGCGTTCCACTCCGGCTATGAACCAGTGGGTACTACGGATGTGGGCATGTTGCTGAGTCGCTGTTTCTGCCTCGTGAAGGCAAAGTGCCTGAGACGACGTCCATCGCAGTCGCTACGAAGAAGCAGCGGGAACCGATGTAAGCTGTCGAGACGTGTGTTGATCCCAACACTAGGAGAGAGCATACTGTAGAATGGTGGAATGAAGTCGATGGCAATGAGCGGGAGCGTTGACACGAGATCGCAGTGGTGATCGATCTGTGGGGGCAGCTTTACAAGCACGGCAACAAACACTGTGATTTCTGTGCCAAGCACGCCTCCTATGGTTCATATGCAAAGTCCAACAGCGCTTTCCTACAGGCAAACGCGAAGGAGCCAATTGAGAAGCGACAACTATAATCAGAACGAACGCGCTGCACGATTGGGGAGTGGGAGAAAGAGGCCGAACGCCAGGCGACTTCTGCGCTCGTGCAGCTTGTTGCACCCATGTCTGGCTCCAATCTGTCAAATGCCGTGTCGACCGACTCGTTCTGCTTCTGTTCGACAGTTGGCATCGTGCACCACAAGAGCTGTCGCACGTCTTTTTGCACTCGACTCTGTCTGTACATATAGACACTCGCTGTCGATCACACTGACAACTTGTGCAGTCGTTACTTGGGTCGTCTCCTCATGCCGTGCAACGGTCGACAAGCCACTTCAACATGGGATCCTGGTTCGGCTTAAGTGCGAATGCCTTTTAGTGGAGTAGGTCTAGTCGAAGTACACCGACGACCGTAATCAGTGCGGACCATACTATTTATGGACCACCTATTTTTAAGTCGCTCACAAATATGAGCGCGGACCACACTATTAAAGAATCCGCACTAATTATGGGCTTGCAAATTTAGTATAGACCGCACTAATTTTGAATGCGGAGAATTAGTGCGAATTTATAATAACCGAAAGAGCGCAGTATGTAATAATGAATTTGGCTACATGATTTAAAGCCTAATTGTTATGACTTTTGGCAACAGCCAAGGGCGATATAAAGTTGAAACGCTTAGAAGAAGGTGAAATCGAAAGTGAATATAATATCTAGCTAGGTCCTTAGTTCGTCTCGTTGTACTACTCTAAGCCTATCAATATCGACTCTACGATATCAGTAACAACACGATGAGTCGATCCCATCGTTACACACAATCATGCAGTGTCGTCCCTGCCATGTGGTCATTAGTACTACATACAACGACATTGCCAATAAGTTGGAACGGGAAGGCCATCGTAGTGGATGCAATATTTGCCAATAATTTGTCGCAGTTTCGGCGTCAATTGCGATTCGTGCCATCGACCACTCACATCAAGTGCCATGCCACAACGAATCATAGACTTACGAGCGTATGTCAAGTCCCAACTGTCGCGCATCCCGCTCACCGCGCGTACGGATGTGGCGGCGAGTTCCAAGAAGAAGCGTTTGCCCGGGTTCTTCAGCTTTCCCAACCAAGAGCCGTTTTTACGCACGGTGTCTGACCAGTCGCCTTTTTATCATGCGCATCTTCTCGACCTCCTACAATCGGGTCCATTCGTCCTTGATTTTTGAGATGACGAAAGAGTCGGTAGGCTGAACAAGATCGGTCGCGCAGGGTAGAAAATAGCATAACTCAGTGTTGGTCTTCAAGAGAATAGCACGTGATTCTGGACTGTCGTTGTGGCCGGCACAGTTGTCCACATATATGACAGTCCTTCGTCTAGTGATATCTCCCTTGAATGCGCGTGGCTCGTCAAACGATTGAGGAAATACCTGTAACTCTGTAAAAATATATCTAATATGGAGTATTATAGATAATTCATGATACATGAGACACCAACCTTTTTATCATTCCATCCTTTAGGCTCAGATCGGTATAAAGCACCAGGTACATCGTCTGGAAGACCATTTATAGGGTATGATCGGCTTGGATTCTGAAAGATCATCATCGGTGCACCAATTCCCGCATGCGAACCGCCCGTGATCTAGACCATCATGGTCATCCCGATACCACCCGACACAACATCGGCGTATTTAATCTCTGTATCACCAAGAAAACCAAGTGTACGACCGTTGTCGCAATTGGTCACGAAATGAGTTTCGTTCATATTACAATGCAGGTCCTCGTTCAGGGTTCCTGACTCGAAACCACGGCGCAACTCGCCCATATGGTACAAATCCGTTTTCTCGGTATGGTCCTGCTTCGCGGCGCTGACCATAAGCTTCCCGGTCTATTCCCGATGGACTTTTCCATGCACCTCCTATTGCAGCAAACAAATTCAATCACAAAGTTACCTATGTACATGTGTAAATAAACTATATACCATGAACTGCTGAACCCATCGTGTCTTTATTTTGTCGACGATGGGTTTATCGTCGAATGAATCAATGAAGTTGGAATTGTATAATGGCGCATCGTTCATGACAGTGCGAGCAAGTTGACCAATCAGGGCTGGAGACAATTTGACTCCAGCGGCCTTAAGCCGCATAAATTCGGACAGCAACTACATGTACAGGTAGGACGCTCATTCAGATCGGCTCCTTCCTCTGCCAGCAACAGCCTTAAGGTTGACCCTCTCTCGCACTGATGGAAAACTGCTGATATCGACTTTGGATTTGTACCGCCATATTCACCAACTTTATCGCGCGTTATCCACCACCTTGTGGCTTTGGTACAATTAGCTTGCATACAGTCATTGTCAATACCATTGTTTGAAGAAGCTCACTTTAACATACCTTGTAGTTTACGCGGAACTCTGAGGGAAATTTGGCGATCGCTTCAAGGATCAAGCTTGTTCATCATTCTGGTCTGCATCAGTTATCATCCAATTAATCACAGTGAGCCGCGACGTTATCGATACAACCTGTTGAAGCTTGCGCTTGCGCTTGCGCTTTTTGACGAGTTGATCATCGAGATCGTGATTCTCATCTAGGATCTTCTCTTCTCCCTCTCCTACATCTTCGTTGTCATCAAGTTTTTCGTCATCGACATCGCTTGCTGGGGCATTAGCGCCGGCAGTACGTGCAAAAGCAGCGATAATCGGTGATGGAGAGTTCAACGCCTCGACACTGCTTAAAACCACCGTCAAAGCACTTGCACGGTCAAAATTCGAATGAGAATGACGTCATTTTACTGAACAGTGTATTAATCACGAATTTTGTAAAGTCCGTGCGGAGTGCGCACTATTTCTCAGCCTCCCAATTCGCAACTCTCTCGAAACATATATTAATCTGGACCGCACTAATTCTGAACCCACACTAATTCTGAACCCACACTAATTCTGAACCCACACTAATTACGGTCATCGGTGTAGCTGTGGTGTCTATTTTCGTCACCCGCAAAAAGCGTCGAAACAGAACTCCATATTGACTTGACGTCTCATTTGCGCGGATGGCCGCGCGTGGCACCTTCCTACGGCCAAAGCTCGTGCCCGTGTGCAGCTGTTATGTGAATCTTCCGCTTCCATTCGTGCAGACCTTCTTAGGTGGCTCCGAACGTGTACGTCGACAGCCAATCGTTTTCGTCGATTCATTCACCAATGTGTACTGCTTTGTGTTACTTACGTACTTCTTTGTTCAGGTGAGGAACGGGTCGACGATTCTAGCGCTTTCGTGGGAAACGATTGATGGATATGTCCAGCGCGTGTGCGTTGGATGGGTTGGTGGGACTGTGAAGTCTAGTGCGTCGCACAGGTCTGAGGCCTCATCACGTGTGAAGTGGTAGCAACTGCGACGTGATTTTAACTCAACGCTCGGTCCATTGCACTCTGTAGCGACGTGATTGAAGTGCCGATTGAATTCGCACGTTGTGTGGGGATTGTAAGGTGGCTTGGACGTGATTGGAGGAAGTTGGTCGGTTGTGGCTGATGTGGCTCATACGTGTGAGATGTTTGCGCTGTGTTGCCGCTCCTGTTGGCTGTTGCGATGTAGCAGGATCATTTGGAAAACACACCACAGCCGTTTGTTAGAGTACATGTGGTCGAAGCACTGCCCGTTGCTCGGCAGATGAACGTCGAGCCTTGTACGCCAGACGACTGGGAGTTGATTCAACTGCATGCAGGGGAAATTGAGACCGAGTTGCTTCGACAGGTGAGGTTGTCAATCAGGCGACTCTTACCGTTGTACGGATACATGACGTTTCTTGACGCGATGTCAGATGTGCGTGGTGAACGACAAGCAAGTGGTCCCGATTTGGGTCAACAAGAACGCGGTGATTCGAATCAGGGCATCTCTGCCGAACGGAATGTGAGTTGAGCTGGTGCTGCAACAGCGCTGTGTGCGGTACTGATCACCTATGCGGAATCGATGCGATGTTTGTTGGTACAATCACTTTGTAGAGAATATGCTCGGTTAACTCCCGCCTCGGAGATTATTGTGGCACCAAAAGAGCGTCAAACGACAATGAGCGGCTTGAGTCCCGATTTGTACTATGAGCAATCACCGCCACTGATCATTCAGGCACGACACCTGTATCATCTCTTTGAACAAGCACAGCTGTTTCGACAACTAACGACTGTGGATTGCTCACAGGATGATTCAGGTGCACTGCAAAACGATACTGTGGACGAAGTATGGGTTCATCCAGAAAGCCTAGCAATGCTCGACGGCGCGATTCTCCCAGACACACCTGTCGACGCGCAAGTAGCTCCTATCGTGGCACTATGGAGCTTGGTATCAGAATCAACGACTCAACACAATGCGCAGACCGAATCTGTGAGGTACTGTTTGGGATGTTTCTACCTCAAAAGCGTTCATTGATGCCCATGCTATACCGTGTTTCTTGCTACCACAGAGAGCAAAATGTCTATTGTGTTGCGAAACTGAAGGCTTCTCGATACGTTGTACGGAGTCATGTCCTTCCTAGTCGATCGATGTTGGCTACTTTGGGCACCGCAGCGCATGAAACCGTTTGTGTTCGCGTTGTAAGGCTACCGGCGCTGCCTCCTTCATCAGTGACGCTATTGACGAACCTAGAAACCCAAGATGACGGTCACGCTGCATTGGCGTGTCAAGTTCAACAGTCATTTTTACGTTGGAGCAGCTCGACTGAACAAAGCCACGTTGTTAGCTCAGGATCGGTCGTTCGTCTTGAACTGGACAACGGAGACATCATTCGAGCAATTGCGGACGTCCAGTACGATGCTGAAGAAGCATTTAGTGCAGAGCAGCAAGAAGGTAATGCCTGAGTCGGTATGCGATTCTCGCAGTGACACCACGAACGGTTAGCTTACAACACAAATTGTATTCTCTTGTTGCAGGTGCTCCTGTGGGCGCGCTTGAACAGTACTCTCTTCTTGGTACAAGCAAAGGTGGGCACGTCCTATCTCCGGGACAAGTAACGGTGCAACGTGCAACTGGGATCCACAAGCAAGTGCTAGCGGAACTGCACAGGAAAGCTTCGTCGACTCGCACGTACAACTCATCAATCTTGGAGCTATCGCGCAAAGCAAAATCCTATGCTGCGTTGATCAAAGCGGTGCGCCCAGTCTTGTCTCAAGATGCGTCAGTAGCGCGAGTTGTGCTGGGAACGAAACCGCCCGGGTCTGCCTTGCTCTACGGTGATCGAGGTAGTGGAAAGACGACCCTTTTGCGTGCTTTAGTGCACGAGGTCCGAACTCGTACTGACTATGCTGCGTTTGCGACAACTGTCGACTGCCGGGACTTGCGGGGACTGAAAATGGAGACTGTGAAATCACGGCTGAGCGATTTGTTTGAAGTTGCAGCCGCTCACGCTCCTGCTCTTATCGTCCTGGACAACCTGGACGCGCTCGTGCCTGCAGAAGATGAGTCTGCAGGTGCGGCCAACGAGCAATCGCGGCGTATTGCCGAGTCGCTGCTGATTCTGATGCGGCAGAATAGCCAGCGCATGCACGAAGCTGCAGTCGAATTGTGTGCGTCGTTCAAGCGAGAGTGCAAGGTCGTTGAGGGCTGTCCTGAGATGCAGAATCGTCCTGCTCGAACAAAGCTGCTTGACGTGGTTGGCAACGCCATACAGAGCAAAAGTGTGGCAATTGTTGCAGCTGCTCGGTCTGACATGAGCATCCACAAAGCTTTGCGAGGCTGTGGGCTTTTTGACCGCTCCATTCGAGTGGCTTCGCCAGATACCGAGCAGCGCGAAACTGTGATTCGAGAGATGATGGAAATGAAAGTGAGGGATTTGAACTTCACTGCAAACGGACCGAAGACATCACGGCAACTTGCGGTCGACCCTATCATTGACTTCGGTCATCTTTCATCGTTGACGGAAGGCTATAGTCTTCGTGATATGTCAAGCGCCACTGATCGTGCGTTGCATCGGACGCTCAATCGCCTCGCTCTCACGCAACCAGCAAACGAAGATGGGGTCAGTTTGTTCGTAGAGCAGCGCGATTTTGAGGAGGGGATTGAGGATTTTCAGCCGACAGGGCTGATCGGCGTGGACCTTTTCAAGAGCTCTATCAAATGGTCAGATGTCGGAGGACTTCAACACGTACGAACGGTCCTTAAAGACACCCTGGAACTTCCCACTCGCTATGCAAAGTTGTATGAGAACACACCGCTTAAGCTTCCAGCTGGTGTGCTGTTGTATGGCCCTCCTGGATGCGGGAAAACGCTTTTGGCTAGCGCAGTGGCACACGAATGTGGTTTGAACTTCATCAGTGTAAAGGGGCCCGAAGTCCTGAACAAATACATTGGTGCCAGCGAGCAGGCCATCCGGGACTTGTTTGCACGTGCTGGCTCAGCAGCTCCGTCCGTGCTATTTCTTGACGAGTTTGATTCGATCGCTCCTCGCCGTGGTGCTGACAACACGGGTGTGACCGACCGGTTGGTGAACCAGTTGCTCACATTTTTGGATGGAGTGGAAGACCGAAAGGTAAGTAACGGGATCAGCTGATCAGTGCGTCGAGCTTGCAGTGCAGTCTAATCATGAGCCGTTGGCATGCTGCGATACATCCAGGGTGTTTATGTGCTAGCAGCTACGAGTCGGCCAGATATGATCGACCCTGCACTCCTTCGACCAGGACGGCTCGATAAGTCCCTCTACTGCGGTACGTTTAGCCCCTAGCGTCGGTACAATCAAACGTGGTGCATGTGTACATCCGGACCTGATGTGCTCGGGGTTGGTTTTGCAGGCTTTCCAGACCAAGAAGAGCGCTTGGACATTCTCCGTGCGGTTTCCAGCAACATGGATCTCTCCGACGAGGCAGTCGACTACCTTTCTGAGGTTGCGAGTGGCTCAAAGTGCGCTTACTTTTCGGGTGCTGATTTGCAAGCTGTACGTACAGCTGCGTCGCTCGTTTGTGCCAGTGCTCATTAGCACTCACACTGTTTACTTGTGTTGCCAGATCATGTACTCGGCGCAGCTCCAACTCGTGCACGAAAAGCTCAATGGCGATACGTCCAAGTACGTGTCGTTCGTGCTGATACCTCCTCGACTGCATTGTATAACCCGTCTCTTTCTCGCTCTCTTTTTGTCGGTTCCGTGTGTATTGCCCTCCTCTCTCTTGTCACTGCAGTCTCATCACCAAGACGCACCTTCAAACAGCACTTGACAGTGCGCACCCATCGACGTCCGAAGCTGCTCGACTGCACTTTGAGCGACTGTACGCCAGTTTCTCGAGAGCTCGCAAGACGGACTTTGCCGTCGCACAAGCCGATGTCTCAGCTACGACCGAGTCACTCCAGTCGCACGTCGTCCACCAACGCACCGCTCTCGCTTAGCAAGACGTTTCGTCCATTGATCTATCCGTCTACCGATCGCTCTTGGCACGTTAATTTGACCTTGTAGAGCCTTGTTCCCAATTGTTGACTTGTCCTGCACGCTTCAGCGACAATCCGTCGGTTCTCGACGGATGTGTTGATGTGTAGGACTGTTGTATATCCATACAAGAAACAGTCCTACACATCAATACCAACAGCCGCCACCAGCTATCCGAAATCCCTGGGATAGATCCCTGAAATTCCAGCAGTATCGGAACTAAATCCCAGAAACAAACGCGAGCGATACGCCACGCAACAAAATGGCGAACATCGTCGGGCTCTCGAGTCTCAGCGACCGCCGCAGCGACGACCAGCGGCAGGAGAGCGACGAGCCGAATCAGTACTACGCGGGCGGGACGTCGGACCGCGGCGGAGGCAGCGGGTTGTCCGTCATTGGTCCCGCCAGCGACGACCACGTGGCGAACATCATTGGCCGAGCGCAGCAAGACGCCCGTGCAGCGGCTGGTGCGTCCACGCAGCCTCGACATGTCATCACGTTCTACCGAGACGGCTTCACAGTAAACGACGGGCCGTACCGCGCACGTTCCGACGCGGCGAATCGGCCGTTCCTTGAGGCGCTGGAGCAGGGCCACGTGCCGCAAGAGCTCGAGGGGGAGAACCGCAATGAACCCGTGGAAATCAGTCTCGTGGACAAGCGCGAGGAAGCGTATGTGGCGCCGCCGCCACCTGCGTATACGGCCTTCAGTGGCGAGGGACAGGTCATGGGTTCGAGGACGTATGGCGCTGAAGCCGTGATCCAAGGAGACGAGGTCCAGACGGCCGAGCGTCCCGTGATTGATGACAAGAAGCCCACGACAACGCTGCAGCTTCGTCTGCACAATGGCCAGCGACTGCGGGAGACGCTGAATTTGGACCACACGATTCGGGACGTGCACGCGATCATTCAGCTGTACGTAAGTGTGGATGTTGGTGGATGGGGTGATGGCGGTCGCAGGGATAGAAAGAGGAGGGAGAGGGGAAGGGAAGGAAGGGAAGGAGAGTGAGTGCTATTGGTATTCACCATTGACGATTGTGTGTGGTGGCATTGGCTGCAGGAACGATGCGGGGGCGCAAGCCTACACACTGCTGGCTGGGTTCCCGCCACGTCCCGTGTCAACGGACCTCGACGCAACAATCGAGCAAGCGGGACTCAAGGGCGCTGCTGTCACCCAGAAGCTCATTTAAGATTCCCACGCGGTCGCGCGCAGTTGAGTAGCACGAAAATGAAGCACTTGTCAGCTCGACTCTCCCTGTGTTGCAACGGGTCCTTCTGCCTTGTGCCACTTGTACTGCGACAACAGAGGGGGAGGGGAGGAGACGGGTGCCGACCCTTTGGTCTCTCTCTTTTGTACTCCTTGTGGTTCACTTGACCTTTTGTCGTTCAGATGGCGACCGCAGCCCCAGGACGACGTGGCAACGACAGCAGCACTGTCAAAGCTTTTGTCGGGCAGATCCACACTGCACTGCAAGTCCCGACCCGTTCGGTCGTCCGGATCAATGGCATCGAGTGCTCCCGTCTTTGGCTCCAGGTGACTGAACCCATTACGTTGCGTGTCCCAACGCCGTCACTCACCTGGCCGAAACAGCTCATATCTTAGCAGTGAACTCACTATTCTTCGACCGGTCGGTCTGTCGCGTACTTCCTGCAGGGCGTCGTGGTCTCAACCACCGAAGGATGTGCGCAGTGCACAGTGGACGACGGCACTGGCGTCTTGCGACTTGAGCTCAAGAGTTACCTGAAACGTGTGCCTTCGGGTATCGATGCCCGACCTCGCGTAGGTCGGTGGCAGATGCAGTCGCTGTAGCCGCTTTTTCCATCGCCATCGCTGCTGATACTGCTGGCTGACCACCGCCTACCGACGTCGTTCGTTGTCCATGCACAGGGGACTACGTCATGGCGATCGGGCCGATGCAGAAGACCAAAGGCAGTACGGACTTGTCGATGCGTGCAATGCTGGCGCACCAGGTGATCAAGTTGGATGCCAAGCAGCAACGCGAGCCCATGTGGTACCTGGAAGTGATTGAGTACTGGACGTCCGTCGTCCAAAGCGCTGCAACGACATCGACAGCCGAGGAACAGCTCTAGACACAAACACAAGGCAAGACCGCGTCTGCAGCTGCACATGTTCATTGCCGGTCCGTGATGGGAACGATAATGGACTGCACTACTACTGCCCTGCGAGGTGGGTAGCCTCGCCCAGCCAGCTACGAGTCGGTCGGAGCATCTCGAGCCGTGATCCAGTGCTTGTTCGTTTCTGCTTTCACTCGATCCATCGGACATTCGATCGGTGCGCCATTCCAGCAGCAGCAGCACACCAACCAACGAGCATTCCAAGCGACACGTCAGCGTTACTCGCCCTTTGGCTTCTGGCCAGACTTCTTGGCCTCTGCTGCAGACGGCGTGCGCGGCGGCAGTTCCTCCTCTTCCTCCTCTTCTCCGTCCTGCGTCTCGCCCGCTTCTTTCTCGTCCAGCACCCGCTTGTACTGCGCCACGTCGTCGGCCCCGAGCCAGTAGTCCAGCAGCGCGACCAAGATCGCCACGACAATCGCGACTACGAGAATACACGCCAGCACCGCCAGCACCGTGTGCTCCGTCGCCCACTCAATGACCGTGTCGACGATCTTGGAGAAAAAGCCCTCGTCCGGCACTGGGCCTGTGGACTCGGCCGTCTCCCAGCCGCTCTCGACAAAGTCCACAAACGCAGCCAGCGACCGCCCGCCCTTGTACCGGTACACGTGGCCGTCGTTAATGTACACGAGCGAGGGGTAGCCGTGCACGCCAAAGCGCGAGCACACGCGGCGGTGCACGGTGCAGTCCACTTTGGCCACGCGCGTGCGGCTGCCGCGCTCCTGCAGCGTGCGGCTCAGCTTGTTCCACGTGGGCGCCAGGCGCTTGCAGTGGCCGCACCAGGGCGCGTAGAACTTGATCAGCCACGGCTCGTGGCTCGCCAGCACGTCGCGCTCGAACGAGGCCGTCGTGAGCGGCACGACGGCGCTCTGGCGCTCGTTCTCCTGCTGCTCGGCCGCGGCCGCCGCGCGCTGCGCCACGTGCTCCTCGTCGCTCACCACGGGCTCGCCAAACGTGGTCTTGTAGCCCCCGAGCGCAAAGGTAGCCATTGTCGGCACGTCGCGCCGGCCGCTGTAGTCGTACGCGTGGCCCTGTGCCACGACTTTGAGCGTCGGGTACGAGCCGACGCTGAAGCGCGCGCAGACGCTGCGCTCGGCGGTGCAGTCGACGGTCGCCACGCGCACGTTCGTGTCGTGGAGCGCGGGGGCGGCGGCCAGCGCGGCGATTGTGGGCGCGAGCTGCTTGCAATGGCTGCACCAGGGCGCGTAGAACTTGATGAACCAGACGTTCGTGCTGGTGGCGTGGTCGAACGTGGCGTCCGTGAGGGAGACGGGCGCGGCCTGGACGCGGGACGGGGCAGACGACAGCGCGACGAGTGCGAGGAGGAGCAGGAGGTGCGGCGCGGCGGCGCGTGGGGGCGGCATGCGCGAGAGGAAGCGGCGGCGAAGGAGGGGACGGCGCGCGGGATCGTGCGTGGCGCGAAGAGGACTTTGGGTGTTGATTGAGTTTGGGGTGCAGAGGTGGGTGGGTGGATGGTGGGTGGATTAGATTAGAGAGATTATGATGAGGTAGAGGATGCGTGCATTGGATTGGGGGCTTGAAACGCGGGGAGGGGGGGCTGGAGGAGGGACTTCCGACGTGAGAGGTGGACGCTGGGTTTTGTGTGGGTGTGGGTGTGTGTGCTAAGCAGATGGGTTTTTTTGAATCGAGGTATTGTGTGTTTGCTCATTTGGGTGACTAGTAGTATGGCATATGTGCGACGTTTTCATCATACCGTGCACTCGGGATTCGCGTGGATTAGGGTAATGAAGCGAAAATGCTGCGGGGGAACTATCCACAAAGTGGTCTTTCAGACTCTCGGGGCCTACAGCTACAGACTCATAATATCTGCCGTTGGATAACAACATCCACGTACGGATATTGTCGTCGCCGCCCGTTCCCTACTGCAGTCGCTGCGCCCGAACGCGTCGCAGTGTACGCCGTACCCCCGTGCTCTCATGCCCGTCAAGCCCTGGGAGAACCCGCTGAGAAGAACGCAGCAGACTGTCGGTGCGTCGCCGCGTCGTGACTGACTGACTGACTGATATCTCGTCGCTCCTGTGCCCACAACGTACTGCTCGCTGCTGCCACTGCAGACGACGACGACAACAAGTTGCTGACGTCGGAGACCGTCGGGTCCGTCCCGTCTGCAGGTGCTGCCGCGTCTGTGTCCGTGTCGTCTCCTGCTGCGCCGTTCGGACCGCCTGCAGCCTCAGCGCTTGGGCCCACGTCTCCCTATGGAGGCGCGTTAGGGTACGCACCGACGGGGTACGGAACGGGACTGGGCTCGATGTATGGGACGGGGTATAGCAACGCGGGGTACGGCGGAGGCATGCAGGGGTACGCGGGGGGTTACACTGGAGGCCCGCTCTCGTACGGTAGCAGTGGTCTGGTCGGAGGCGGCGGTTATGGAGGGTACGGCGGCATGTCCCGAATGGGGTACGGCGGCTCCCTTGGCGGCAGTCACATGGACCCGATGAACGGAGGAGGAAGAGATGGTGGACTAGGCTGGCTCTCGAGCTTCCACCAGATCGTGAGCTCTGTCGGTCAGATATCGGAACTGCTGGGGATGAACGCAGAGGCGCTCAACTTTTGTATCGGTGCGGGGCAAAAGCACTCAGTTGTACTGTAGTTCCTTCACACTAAGACCGGGACGCTGCTGTTGTGCTGACTTCGACATCATGTCACCACTGCGTCTGTTGCAGGGAGTTCTGTGCACTTTCTGGAACGCATTGGCGCCATGTGCGCGGGTGTGGCTGCCCTGCTGGCTCCACGGCCAGTGTTTCCACCTGGTCACCCGCGACATGGCGAGCCGCCCGTGACGGAAGAGGAGGAGCAAAGTCGTCGACGTCGAGTGCGTATCTTCCAGTTCATTCTGAGCATGGCGACACTCGCAGTGCTGTACAAGGGACTGCGGTGGCTGCGTGCCAGGACGTCGCTCCAGAAGCTGCTGGTCGCGCCGCCGTCCAGTAGCGTCCATCGAGACCTCGAGCACATTTTCGAGCATACGGTGGGCGTCCGGCACTTGTAAAGCAGACAGTTTGCCGACTCTGTGGTTGCAGACAGCCTCGTGGGTGTTGTTTGGTTGCACAGGTGGGACAAACAAGTCGCACAAGGTGTGGATTGGATCGATTATCGATATACTTTTTACGGCTAATGGCTCCTCGTGTCTCTTTCGCTCTCGTGCCCCGGTATCTCTCTGTCTCCGTTGTTGGTCGGATCCAGTCAGCTTCACCCGCCACTGATGGGAGGAATCAGCGCCACTTCGTCTCCGTCCGCCAGCGCCATGTCGTCGTCAGAGTACTCGAGATTGAGTGCGAAAGTGATGCGGTCGATGCTGGACGCAACGTGCGGGTACTTGTCAACCAGCAGACGGCGCAGTGACGCGAGCGTAGTGTTGCTCTCGTCCGGCAGCTGGACACTCTCCTCGCGCAGACCGACGTCCTCCCGCGCCGACGCAAAGTACAGCACCTTGATCTTCATCCCGAGGCTTCGTTCGCTACAATAAGGACGCGCTATGCGCTGTTTTGTGTATGGCAGATCCAAGTGGAAGATGGGGCTATGCACCGGACGAGTGAGTGTGTCTGATCGGATGTGTTTGTGACGTCTGTGTGTATGTAGCCGATGCCCAGCAGTATTGAAATGCGCGTGTCTCGTCACCTGTGTAGATTATTGCGTGTGTCGAAGAGAGAGAGGTCATTGTAGTCATATCCTGCGCCGGCAGTTGTCCTCGCATGACCAAACGTCAGCTTTAGTATCTTTCCAAAAAGTATCTGAATGTCTCAGCAGTTTCAGCGCTCGGTTGGGCCGCAGTTTATTGTCCATCTAGTCGCACAGACCCTTTCCAGCTCAGGATCTACACGACTGTCGCAGTCATGAGCCAACTCATGCCATCACTTCGCTTGCCTTCATCGCTCCAGTCAAGTCAAATGACGTCCCGGACCGCTTGCTTAAACCGTGGCACGCGCTGTGGAAGTCGGCCCACATTTCGATTATCTTTGTCGCTTGACCGTGTAGTGCTGAACTTCCATTTGGTCACATCGGACCATGCATCGCCTCAGCCAAATGTCCACAACTTCTTCAGTGTGCTGAATGATTTACACGTGGCTCGACTTTACATTCCATAGTAAATGATGATGGCTTTGCTGCCCTCTGTCGCTTTAGCAGTAGACTCAGTCCAGGCGCATTGTTCGTACCGCTCACAACTTTGGTGATACCTCTCCACGCGGCGCCTCACACCAAAAATCTTTGATCATGGTGGTCTTGTGAGAGACAGGTGTCTTGGAACGCAAGAGGACGAAGAGGCGTTCATAATGGTCGTAAGCGCGTGAGAACAGTGAGGAAGTACTGGTAGCGGATGGAAGCTTGTAACATCTACCAAAGTGGTCTTGCTGTGGGCGCATGTCGAGACCTGCGCTCCTGATTCATCTCCTGAGAATTCTTAGAGGTGGACGTGTTCGTCTATTCCGGGTAAGTGACGTACGACATGTTGCCGCGCTCGTAGTTGACGATAGTCGACTGCTACGATGTTTTCCTCATCGACACTGCCGGATGTGACAGCCTTGTACTACACGTCAAGTCCCTCGGGTTTATACCTTCTGCACCCGTTCTCCGTCATGTAATGCCAATGATCGGGATCCACAAGTGCGCGTATCAAACGATGTCGAAGCATTCAGGCGACTCGTCTGAATCATGCTGGGAGAGTTGGCGGTAGCACCGCTGATTGTGCCAATAAAAGTTGACTGACATACACGAAGTATGGTGGTATCCAAACGTACGACCAAGACTTTGGATTGCAGGAGTGTACGATACATAAAGTTGAGATACGATTGACTGCGCATGACGACCATTGATGACGGTGCCAAGACGACCGTGGATGAAGATGCGCCTGCGTACAGAGGTGTATGATTAGAAATGTACTGTCAAGTAGCCCTTGTTACCCAGGTCAGGCAAGGTTAGTCACTTCCAAACTTACCAAGTCAAGTACATCAGTTGACTTTCCGGTCGTAAGATTCGCTTCCGTTTCTACAAACGAAAAAAATAGCGCCCATAAATACAGCCGCCGCGGTAGTCGTTGTCATACCTGTCCGAAGTAAGCTGCATCATTTCCGACATGACGTGGTGGTCGTGCCCTCCCCCGAATCATTATATCGCGTCGAAGCGAGTGACAAATATAATTCCATTGGCTCCAGATTGCAGTTCGTCGCAGAACGATATACTACCGTAAACCGAACGAGCAACAAATCCCTAAACAACACGGTTTCCTCCTCTAAACTCTCTGATACTTTTGTACGTACCAGTCACCAGTGATGTGAAAAGCCAACCAGCGCTCGAGTGAAAGAACGCATCAAATACAAAGCTTGCTGCTGCTTTTGAACTGCTCGAATGAAGCGGGTACAAACTCACATCTTTCTATTCCACTTTGATATAGTCGGTGACAACTCGAGCTCGCAGACATCATCTGTTCTTAGCGGACTTCGACAGTTCTTGTCAATAAGAACAAGCGAGGCGGTATCCTGCATGGTATTTGCAGTAGAGCCAGGTACGCTACCACACAACCATTGCCTAGGTCTGAGCTGTTGAGCAACAGAACCTTCCAAGAAATCGTATCAAAACTATGGCACAGGCTCACCTACGTTTAGCGACAACATCCGTTCATGAGATGGCCGAGTGACATTTGGCTTCGAACCTGAAACAGTTTACTCGTCTGTATCTCGCAATGTCACTCTCTTACATCACCTGACAGCATAGCGCACTCGGGCCATCTACAGAACTGCACATACTGTGGTGCTGCCTATTCAATGCGACAGAACACTGCGTTGTTGTGGATATTGCTTACAAAAGTCGAAATGGGTCGGAGGCCTACATCTCAAGAAGTGGAATGACACAGGATTGTCCAGCGCCATATGCTACAGTGCGCTCTACGGCATCTCTGTGCCAACCGAATCGATTCGTGTCACGCAAATACTCTTCTGGTATCGAGGGACGGGGGTGTCACAAGAGACAGAGCTCGGAACTCTTTGTGGTATAAAGAGCCTGCTTCTTACATACAGTAGCGATAAGTTACACGTGGCAGCGTACGCTCGGCTGTCTCTATCATCGTCTGTACATCACATCAGATCCCCGTGGTGCTGGAGGTGCGGCACCGGCGATGATCTTTTCAAGCTCGAACTACAACGGCTTGTCGTCTCGCAGATTCTGTAGCACTTGGCCCTTTGTCAAAGCGGCTCGGCGGGTACAAGTGCGCAAAAGACATACATGTGTCACAGAAGAGAGAATGGGGTGCATGCTCGATATCAAACATCAGCCAGAATAGATGCCAAGCAGATAATGAAACGCATCCGGGTCGACAGGTGTGCTTTTGTCCAAGCAATAGCATAATGTTCTGGTGAGCTTGGCGGACATGGAATGTCGACGGCCGCCTCAATGGATTCAGCGGCTGCATTTTCGTACATTCCACGGCTCGCGGTTCGTATCAACAATTAGTTGTTGCGTAAAAAAACAGACCCGCTATGTCGTGGAAAACTGAGCGATGCAAAAGTATTTGGTCGACAGAGTCGTTGTTGACTGACATAGGTTTCAGTTCACCTAGCTCTCGGTGATAACACGCTTGTCCTCATTCCTCTATTGAGATCTCAACCTGGCAAATCTCGCTCATCCGAGAAATTGCTGACAACACCTTGTGCCGCTGGCGATTTCTCGAGAGCAATTTCGCACATGTAAGGTTCGCCATAGCAACTGACCAGGCGTGTCAACCTGTACTTTTCTCATACTTAGTGGCAAAGCGCTGTGAAAAGTTCGCATATTCATTCCTAATTCGAGGTCTTCTTGCACTTGAACAAAGGCTCTACAAAAGAGCAGAAGAGCGCAGAACTTGATTATACAACAAATAGAGCTACAGCGCACTTGGGAAAATACGCAGCGTAGATCACGGGATGTAGCACGCCTTCACGGATGAAAGGCCGCATTGTCGTACTGCCCGCCGACCTACACGGTGCCCAACTGTTTGTTTTTTGATATAATTCTACCTATTTTTTGACTCAATGAGCTCTATACATCTTCAAATCGTGTTCAAGACATGTTTAAGACATGGACAGTTTTTCATATTGTCTTCGACTGAGTAGAGGAAGGTGGTAAGAAGTTGCATTGGTCCCAAAAGATAGCCAAAAGGTACAGCCGCTGAAGGTGGCACGAAGGATGACGGGTGTTTAGCAGAAGAGATCACAGGGAATAGCGGCCAAACGTACAATTACCAAGCAAAGACGCACACCTGCTGGAGAGGACACGACAAAAACGTACCGGACACGCACACGTTTGCAACAAACACAAAGCGTCGTCAACGCTGTTCTTGAGCCATCATCACAACCGCTGACTTCTACGTCCACCTAGTGCAAGACGCCTAGGCTTTTGTGTCCAATAAAGGAGTTCCTACCGAACTATAATGGGTTATGCTCGGTGTGTTTCGGGGACACCAGTATTGGAAGTGTGTGACGTGTATTTGTTTTGGGGTGTCAGAGGTGTCGCCTAGTCTGTACATGTTGGACGTGTTCATAAGGGTGCAACGAGGTCGTAGCAGCTGAAGATGGTGCGATGTCCCCAAAGTTGACGATGAGCGCCGGGTACATGGAACAAGTAAATGGGACTGGACGAGTTAAGTGACCTTCTTACGCTTCCTTGCTCTCACATTTTCATGCACTTACAGCGCCTCCGTAGAGCAGCAAGTCGAACCTCCTGACTCGTTCCCACAACGTACGTACACAGACAACGTCGATCGAAAGCACATTCTTTGATCCAAGGTGCAACATTTTTGAACGCCCACGAACCAACCAAAAGATTCTAATGTCTAGTCTACCCCCATCATATCTGATGAGCTAGCAGCAGAGGGTCTGGCGTGTTGTAAAGGCGCTTCAGTGGTGGAGTGCAAAATGCAAAGTGAATGTATTTCGGCCCTCAGTTCGCAACATCTTCTTGCTCTTCTAAGCCTAATGGATTCATCGACAATGCAACAGTAATCGACACTACGCGCATTACTCGTTGTATAGTTGCGCATGAGGAATCTACTCTATACACATTACTCATCAGATAGTCAGACATGAGTAACCCACACTACTGGTATTACTCATGGGATAGGCGCACTGCTAATCACCAGACTGTACCTTTCGTTTGTCGCTCGCTGGACGAGAGGACGCGTTAAACATCTCCAACTGAAAGACTACCTGGCGCCAACTCTAACTTCAACTACACAAATACATATAATCAGTTGTTTTGGGGTCCTAATTTGTGTTCGTCTTTACAGACGGCAAAATGACAGCGGTACATAGCACCGAATTCTACGCTAAGAGAAGATTGAGGAACATTTTCAAGCTTGTCGGAAAACCACGACCCTGCCCGGGTCCCCGCCAATTCTATAGGAGGCGAACTAGCCCCCAAACCGCCGAGCCTTACATTCAATGTGCCACCTCCCGCCGCAACTGTGCTCCTAT